AGGAGAGAGAATGTGGGGTTTGAGGTGTCTGTGGAGAACGTTACTTGCATGCGTTCAGCTGGGGTGTATAGGGAGGTTTTGGTAGAAAATAATATATCATCTATTTCCCCTCTGCTGCTGCTGCTGCTGCTGCTGCTGCTGCTGCTGCTGCTGCTGCTGCTGCTGTTGGAGACAGAAGCAGAGATGAACTCTTCTAGGGCTCGACGAGCTGTCTCCTTGTCTCCTTGTGGTTTAATAACCCCAACAACAGCAACGTTGTTGTTTCTGTGCTGCAGTCGGAGACTATCAGCAGCAGCAACCCCCAAGGAGACACCTCTATACTGTATATGCATGCATACAGGGCCAAAGACAGCGGAGACAGGTAGAGAAGAAGGAAAGGAAGCTTGAGTTATAAACACCCATTCATGTTGTGTTTGTGAGAGAAGAGAGAAAGAGGAGACAGCAACAGAGGAGACAGATGTCCCCATACCTAGTAAAGGTATCTCTGTATTTATATTTATATTTTTTATCGATAAAAAACCTAACACAAACTCTAACTCTATCTCTAAACGGCTATCAACGAAGTGAAGAGACACCTCAGGCTCAGCAGCAACACGACGAATCAGAGACACAAAACTGTCTCCTCCCCCAGCCAGCTGCAGCACACCAGACATAGAAAAATCAGCATCCACCCATGCTGCTGTCTCCAACGCAGGCAGCAGGCTGCTGTCTCCTCCTGCTGCTGCTCCTGCTGCTGCTCCTGCTGCTGCTCCTGCTGCTGGTGGCGGTGCTGCTGGTGCTGCTGCTGCTGGTGGTGGTGTTGGTGTTGATGAGGGGGTGGAGAGACGGCGGGGTATGGGAGAGGGAGAAGCAGCAGCAGCAGGTGCTGCTGCTGCTGCTGCTGCAGCAGCAGCAGCAGCAGGCTCTGGACGTTTTATCATAGAAGCGCCACCGTCTGTGTCTGGGTTGAATCCAAGGCGAACGAGTGGAGGAGTTGCTGCTGCTGCTGCTGCTGCTGTTGCTGCTGCTGCTGCTGCTGCTGCTGTGTCTCCTTCTTCTTCTTCGTCGAGACAAGGAGCATCAGCAGCAACAGGCTGCACGGGCCCCAAAGGAGACAGGGAGACACTTATAATACCTATCAACGGACCCTGCGGGCTGTCTGTACGCATCTCTGCCTCTAACAATATC